GTGTACTGAGTACGTTCTACAAGTACACGTGTACTGAGTACGTTCTACAAGTACACGTGTACTGAGTACGTTCTACAAGTACATGTCTACCGTGTATGTTCCATCAGTACATGTGTACCAAGTTTGTTCTACAAGTACATGTAAACTGAGTATGTTCTTCAAGTACATGTTTACTGACTAATTACATGAAATGTCTTTACAATCATGTATAAAGATTCAGACCTAATAGTATTCCAGTTTTAATTAACATGTCTACTATGATCATCATCAAAATTTCCAGCATTGCCATTTTGACTTAAATCAGTTAATACCTTTGGTTAAATGTCAGAAAGTCATTTCTACTGTCCTAATTCTGGTTTGGCAATCTATATATGAAGAAAAATATACTGACCATGTGCTCCACCCCAGCTATCACTTGAGCAAATATATGTTTGGCTTCTTGTTCGGGCATTTTGCCTTCGTTGGAGATTTTTGTGAAAAGCTCTCCTCCTCCTGCATATTCCATGACAATGTGTAGTTTGGCTAGTGTTTCAAGCACCTCATAAAGACGGATTATGTTTGGATGGTGAAGCTTCTCCATGCTTGAGATCTCTCGTGACAAAAGTCGCTGAGTCTTCTGATCCAGTTTTGTTTTATCAAGGATCTTTATTGCCACTTTCTCTGTAGAAGATGAAAATTCAAACAGTCAGTAGCTGTATAGAAAGTAAGAAAATAACAGATCGAAAAAAGGGCTAGGACTTTAGTTCCCAAATAAGTTTCTAGGATTAGAATACCACTGCAAAGATAATTTTCATCAGATTTTTCTAGAGCAGAATTGCTCCGGAACTGAATGAAGTTTATACTGTAAACATATTTTTTTGTGCACTCAATAAATTAATGCATGCACTCACAAAATATTGATTAGAAACTGATATATATATACTGTATTTCAATTAGCGTAATAATAGTTTAGCGCAATATTTAAAGTGCCAAAGTATTTAAATTAGTCCTTTAACACAATAAATGAAACATAAATTCAAGTCCTCACAAAATAACTTTACAAATTAAACATTGCATGAAAATAAAAATGATAAGCTGTAATCATAAAATATTTATGATACATATAACCTATTAATTTCAATGATACCTCCCCTCCGCCCCCCTCCCCTCCCCAAACAAGTAAATGCTTACTGGTACTACATGATAACTTGCTTAAAAATAATTCACACTCTTTTCAACCGACCAGTGATCTTTAAAACATGAAGTGTCAATATGTGTAACGACATCTAAGTTCCACTGATCATGAACTCCATTGTGTTTCTATTTTTGTATTTTAAAATACATGTACCTCTCATTCAAGTCCAATATTCAGGACAAACAAACACATATACCATGTTAAACCTAATAAACACTGTGGCCGCGCATAGCCATTTGGGAAAATTAGGATGATTTCAAAACCTTCCAAATTCTCTAAATACTCCATAATAGACACCTTTTTCATGCAGAAAGATAAATGATTGTAAAGGTATGTGATTTTCAGACCTGAAAAGTAGAAAAAGATTACTGATGAGGGATGGGCATTTATTAGGTCGCAAACAGTATGTACATTATGATTATTTAAAAGACTAACCTACAATGTATATGAACTCAACACTACTGTCTACTCCTAAACAATGATTCAGGCTATACTGTACATAATGTCCTATCATATGTTTAACTATTAATAGGCTCGGCTATAGGTAAATGTCTATCTACCTGATTTAATGTTCTACCTGTGTATATAAAATATCTGAGGCCAAAAGTAACAAAATATATGCTTCCTTTTTATAACCTTTTTGGTTACCCAACTGCAGCAACATTTCCAAGAATACACAGTTTGAAACATTCTATAGCTAGTACCTGGCCAGAGTTTTAGTATTTATCAATGTTATGTTAATCCCTGTGTGGTAGTGATGATCAAGTGTGGTATATTTGTATGTCACAGTTCAGTATGTAATGTAGTATGAGGCGCATATATTTTACCTGAGGTATAGGTGAGGTAAACCTGTGTACAACCTTTGTTATTTACCTGTGGTACAGGTAAGGTGTACAGTTGTATATAGGGTTCATGGATAACACACTCACCTGCCTCCCCACCGACATAGGATAAGATATTGTATAGGGACATCTATAATGTTCATAGATAGCACACTCACCCCACTCCACACTGACATAGGATAATTAAGATATTGTATAGGGATATCTATAATGTTCATGGATAGAACACTCACCCCCCTGCCCACTGACATAGGATAAGATATTGTATAGGGACATCTATCATGTTCATGGATAGCACACTCACCCCCCTAACCACCGACATTAGATAAGATATTGTATAGGGACATCTATCATGTTCATGGATAGCACACTCACCCCCCCCCCCCCCGACATAGGATAAGATATTATATAGGGAAATCTATAATGTTCATGGATAGCATACTCGCCCCTCTCTCCACCGACATAGGATAAGATATTGCATAGGGACATCTATAATGTTCATGGACAGTAAACTCAACCCCTCCCCACCGACAAAGGATAAGATATTGTATAGGGACATCTGTAATGTTCATGGACAGTACACTCAACCCCCTCCCCACTGACATAGGATAAGATATTGTATAGGGACAGCTATAATGTTCATGGACAGTACACTCGCCCCCCTCCCCACTGACATAGGATAAGATATTGTAAAGGGACATCTATAATTTTCATGGACAGCACACTCCCCCCTGTCCCCACCGACATAGGATAAGATATTGTATAGGGATATCTTTAATGTTCATGGATAGCACACTCACCCCTGTCCCCACCGACATAGGATATGATATTGTATAGGGACATCTATAATGTTCATGGATAGCATACTCGCCCCTCTCTCCACCGACATAGGATAAGATATTGTATAGGGACATCTGTAATGTTCATGGACAGTACACTCAACCCCCCCCCCCCCGACATAGGATAAGATATTATATAGGGACATCTATAATGTTCATGGATAGCATACTCGCCCCTATCTCCACCGACATAGGATAAGATATTGTATAGGGACATCTATAATGTTCATGGATAGCACACTCACTCCCCTCCCCACCGACATAGGATAAGATATTGTATAGGGACATCTATAATGTTCATGGACAGTACACTCAACCCCTCCCCACCGACATTGGATAAGATATTGTATAGGGACATCTATAATGTTCATGGACAGTACACTCACCCCCCTCCCCACCGACATTGGATAAGAAATTGTATAGGGACATCTATAATGTTCATGGACAGCACACTCACCCCCCTCCCCACCGACATAGGATAAGATATTGTATAGGGACATCTATAATGTTCATGGACAATACACTCACTCCCCTCCCCACCGACATAGGATAAGATATTGTATAGGGATATCTTTAATGTTCATGGATAGCACACTCACCCCTGTCCCCACCGACATAGGATAAGATATTGTATAGGGACATCTATACTGTTCATGGACAGTACACTCACCCCCCTCCCCAACGACATAGGAGAAGATATTATATAGGGACATCTATAATGTTCATGGACAATACACTCACCCCCCTCCCCACCGACATAGGATAAGATATTATATAGGGACATCTATAATGTTCATGGACAATACACTCACTCCCCTCCCCACCGACATAGGATAAGATATTATATAGGGACATCTATAATGTTCATGGATAGCACACTCACCCCTGTCCCCACCGACATAGGATAAGATATGGTATAGGGACATCTATAATGTTCATGGATAGCACACTCACCCCTATCTCCACCGAGATAGGATAAGATATTGTATATAGGGACATCTATAATGTTCATGGATAGCACACTCACCCCCCTACCCACCGACATAGGATAAGATATTGTAAATTGTCTGACCGGACATGAAAAGGTATGGAGTCTCTTGCCTCAGAAACCATCAGAATTTTCTTCAGGTACTTCAATTTTCTCCCTTATCAAGACCCCTGTGCAATAATATCTGGGCCAACAAGATTGGTTAAAATATAACTTACCGTACCTTGAGGTAGATAGTCTCATTTGATTCTATTACAAAAAGGTGATTGAAAAGTAATTTTCCTGTTTAATTTTTCTTTTTCTTTTATACTCATACTGTAAATACATAGACAATTATTGGTTGCAGACCTTTTAAGGAGTTAGGAAGATCTGAAACTATTACCACAAATACTGCAGAAAAGTATCAGAATAACAAATATTGTGACTGATAACACAATAGATAGACTCCCATCTTTATAATCAGAAGGCCCAGGGGTCCAATCATTGTAATGAAGTTATATATTTTATATTTTGCTGTTATTTGACAAAGGAAATAACAAAAAATGAATTTCTTTTATGTTTAAATCCTTTTTATTGGAGGTACAACAAAGAGTGCTGGGAGTCTCTTCCTTTAGTTACTATTTTTTCCTCAAGTTAAGTAATGTTTTCCCTAAAGAGAAAGTTATTTACGCGAGCAAAAAAAATAAAACAAGAGGCCCAAGAGAGCCTGTATCGCTCACCTGAATATTTAAGCAGTCATAGCAAAATCTTCTCATTAAATATTATATTGCAATGAAAATATTTCCCTCGCAAACTTTGTTGACTCCATCTGTTGAAACTACCAGCAAAATATTATTATAAGATTCTATGCTTTTTGATTCTTCTTCAGAAGTTGCTTGACATGTTTTTCCCTGTGACCTTGTAAGTAGGTCAATGTCATTTTCCTTCTCAAATTGGTTAGCTCTATTCCAAATTGCTACTAGCCAAATCTTATGAATCCATTCCTTTTAGTTCTTGAGAACAAATCCTTTAAAATGTTGTTGACCGCTGTGACCTCTAAAGTCTGTTGAGGTTATTTTCATTCGCAAAATTTGATGAGCTCTACCCCAGGAAGTCACCAGCCAAATATTATAATTTTATGAATTTTAATTCTTCAGAAGAAGTAGTTTGAACTGTTTGACATATTTGAACACTGTGACCTTGAAAGTAAGTCAAGGTCATTTGCATTCACAAACTTTGTTTAGCTCTTTCCCAGGAAATAACCAGCCAAATATTAAGGTTCTATACCTTCCAGTTCTTCAGAAGAAGTTGTTCTAAGTGTTAGACATATCTGACTCCTGTGACCTTAACAGTAGGTCAGGATCATTTTCATTCTCAAACTTTGTTGAGCTCTTTCCCAGAAAGCTACAAGCCACCTATTTAGGTTCTATAACTTTTAGTTCTTCAGAAGAAGTCGTTTTAAGCATTAGACATAACTGACTCCTGTGACCTTGAAAGTAGGTCAAGGTCATTTTCGTTTTCAAACTTTATCGGGCTCTATCCCAGGAAGCCACCAGCCAAATATAAAGATTCTACACCTTTCAGTTCTTCAGAAGAAGTGGTTTGAAGCATTTGACATATTTGACTGCTACGACCTTGAAAGTAGGTCAAACTAATTTTCATTCTCAAACTTTGTTGGGCTCTATCCCAGGAAGTCACCAGCCAAATATAAAGATTCTACACCTTTCAGTTCTTCAGAAGAAGTCGTAAAGTGTTTGACACAATTGACCCCTGTGACCTTGAAAGTAGGTCAAAGTCATTTTAATTATCAAACTTTGTTGAGCTCTATCCCAGGAATC